CTGATCCGGATGTCTTCTCCCATCACCTGGGGCCCATGCCAGGGAAGCAGGAGCCTTCCTTCGATAAAGGAGAAGGAGATGTAACACAGCAGTAGCACCTCAGCCACAGCTAGCGAGGAACCTTTTGAACGATGCAACACTAGTTGGTAGACGAAGGGAAACAAAGAGGAAGCCAATATGATATCCGCTATATACTATTCATTTGCAAAGGCTTGCACCTGAAACCAGGTGCTTCCAAGCAGTCAACGGATTGGTCAAGGTTAATTAGATGTGGGTCCGTCCCCTTTCGATTTAATGCCAGCACACGTTCACCACGCTCAAAAATATGTCGGCTGCTGTGAAGAGGCGGAACTGGATCCACGCTGCTTCGACCATAGCGGTCACCGCATCCGTGGATAAGGTCTGGTCGTTCCTTCCAAAAATTGCAAACATCGACATCGTGTTACAAATGCCCTTTACAAAAATAACAATCAAAGCAACAGAAACATATTTAGCTTGACTCGACCTTTGAACGCACCCTGCGCCATTATCCAACTAGCTTCGGAGTGGTTGCTAGAGCCAGTAATATTTCTTTGCTGCATACCAACGATGCTGTGAAAGGCAATACTTTGAGATCTACCTTGACTTGTGCTCGATGTAAACAATTGCGCCGTGTCAAATCCACGTGCTTGTACAGGACGCCAAAGGCCTCCTGCAAAAGCAACAAGCCCATCAGTGGACCCGAGAAACAACAATAAACAAACCCAAAAAGAAACAAGGAAAGCAATACGTATGTGATGGTAGTCCCAAAATACACCTGAAACAAACCTTGGAATCATTTTTGCTTTGAACAATGAATATCAAATACGTCTTGTCCTTAGATGTCTCTCGCCGCTCGCTGAACCGCCTCCCGATCGCTGACTGGGGTGCCAGCGGCGCCAGGATTGCCCGCAAATGGCCATTCAAACGAGCGCGGCGTGGCCAGGCGCCCTGGAGAGAATAGACAGAAAACATCAGAAAACAGAGTAACTGGTTGTTCAACCTTCAAAAATAGTTTTGTTTCTTCTGCTGTGAGTATTGACTGGTTTACAACTCAAGTTTGAGTCAAGAGAGTCCGCCCTTGTTGGGTGAAGTGCCTTTCGAGGTGTTGAATCCTCGGTCATTTCTAGCGATGGCCTCCAACCTAATAGCTTCTAACAGGAATGACTTTACCGAGTTTTACCATGGTTTCTACCAATGTCTGGCACTTCTTGCGGGTGCACAGTTCGACGCCAAGCTTTTCACAGGCCTCAACGAAGCCATCATGAACCAACAGGTCCACTGCTTCAACACACAGAGCTCCTTCTCTCCAAAGAATCTCCTGTAGCCAGATACCTGCAGTCTCGCCCATGCTCTCAATAAAAGCACTTGTACTACAGTAAGACTATTTCAGCCTACAGAAAATAAGACACGGCGAGAAAAGTTGCCTCCCAACAAGTACCTCTGAAGCCATATCGAGATTCTCCCATGTCCCTCCAATACACCTGTGACCAGAAGATCTCGAAAGCTATCAGGATAATTATCTTCCAAATAGCCAACAGCGGTGCGATTGTCCTCATCGCGAGTGAGCAGACTGGCACCATGTTGCACCAAGAGGGAAAAGACATCTTTGTGGCCATGAAGCCCTGCATAGTGAAGAGGAGTTCTTCCGGATTGATCTGCCAGCGTTGCATCAGCCTTTTGTTGCAACAGGCTCTTTATCCTCACTTCATCGCCATCAGTAGCAGCCTGATGTAGAACCCACAAGCTGGACTTTTCTTCATCAACTTTTTCAGCAAATGCCTTGGCATATCCACTAAGTGAAAGACTGTGCGGGAAACAAATTGAAACACTGGTTCGACCAAGCATGCGCTACAATATACACAAAGGCAATCCGCAGCAAAGTCACAAGTTTTACAGGTGGACCACCAACGGTGTGACCGCCCTGCACCAAATGACCAGATTGAGCCAAGTCCTCGCTTTCATGCATTGCGTATTTCAAACAAACAGTAGCGGTGTTAAACCAAAAAGGGCAGCGAACATGCCCCATGTATTTTTGAAAAGTATGATATGTCCCATCATCATCACCAGTCATCCTCAATCTTTTCAGGATCGGGGCACAAAAACCTTCTATTCTTTGTATGTCTGTGTTCAAGCCAAATAGATGGTGAGATTCGGATCAAATCACAAGAGAATCAACCAAAATTTGGCTGTCCTCCGGCAACATGTCTTGCATATTTGCTAATCATTGCTAAAATCGTGCGTGGCGCATCTGAAATTGCAGCAAAGAATCTGAATGGGAAGTCCTGGGCGCAACGACACATACCAACGACTGCTTTGCTTCTTTGCTTGGCGTGTTAACCTGCCTGACCGCTGGATCTATGCTTGTACTTCATATCCAGAACAAGCTCAAACAACGCCATCTAGAGTACAAAAAGAATGCCTTCTTTTGGGAACCGGTTGGAGCCATCCTGCAAATAATTGAAGAACGCATAAAGTAGTTTTTTTGGGGTCGCGAGGGCCTCCTAAATAAGTTAATTCATGGGGAATAGTTTATTATAGGGGTCCAACGTTGAACACGCACAATCTGACTACGCTATTGGAAGATCCAAAAGAAGGCTACTCGAGGAAAATACTATGTTTGACCCCATGATTGTTTTATGCTTACCATGTCACACCCCAAGTTGAATGCGCCTGAAGATCTTCAATAAGCTTTCATAAAGAATAGCATTTGAGAAGACATGTTCAAAGACAAGTGTTTGTGGTTGAAGATTGGAGAACTGCGTATTTTATTTTGTCTCATTGCTGTATGGCACCAATCCAGCCCCCCCCAAGAGCCATCCCGCTCAGCCAGAAAGTTAAAGAGGTATCGGCTGCATTCCTTAAATGGGGTTGCTTTGGTGGAAATGTCAGGGCTTTCCAACTCTACCAAGTAACACTTCGAAACCAACAAATAAACATGAAATCTGGGAACACATGGTCAGAAACAAGTTTGTGTAGCCCATGAACAGAAGACGTTAAGGCATGCCCAAAATGTTTCCCAAAATGGATGCAGGACTGGGTTGTGATTGGTGATTTGCACGAAGTGGACACTTGCATTACCAACAATACCGCGCCACCATTCTCCATGAAACTTTGGGATTATGTGGATCTTGTGATGGTAAGGGCTGGTGTGAGTGATATGCGCTCCACAAGAAGGTGGATGGCAAGCCGACCATGTCAAATTCCCACGTCCCTGCCTCACACCAAGCAGAAGGAAGGGCAAAGAAAGAAAGAAAGAAAGACAGAAAGGAATACGTAATTGAAGGCACATCCAAGATTATCCAAAATGAAGATACTATCAATGAGTTCTGAGTTCTGAGGGTCAAAGCCATTGCATCACAGCTGATATTGAGTTTATTTATTTTTTTCTACTTAAGAAATCTCTTCTCCAGCATCTGGCCTATATTTAACGTGACATCTTTGGAACCGAGGTTCGTAACATGCCAGCACAAACTTGGATTCCAAAAAAACATTATTGTGAAGAACAGTGGGTCCAACAAAATTGACCTGATCTTGTCAATACCAACGGCTATTAATTAAAGAAAATGACATGAACGACAAGAAACAAGAAAAAACGACTCATGCATGTTGTCCTTTCAGCGCCGCCAAGTTCCACCAAGGCTCGGCTTTTGAGGCACCACTTGGATCGCTTGAATCTCCATTGCTTGAGCCGTCTTTTCGGTAAATTTTGCATATGAAACATCATGAAACTATGGTTCTATATGGTTCTATGTTTTACTATGTTCTATCGGTTTTATGATGTTCTCCTGAGGCTCGGGTCACAGAGCTCAGGAACCCAACTCAGTGTTCATTGCGGCATCAAAGCTATCAATGCGCGCCCTGTCCAAAGGCATCTGAATGTCGGGCGTACCACTGGTTTTGACTAGATTGAAGGGTTTACCAAGTTTACCACATAGATCTCAGACTTTCCATCATTGTGCGCTTACACGCCCGTACAATTGCTAGACTTCTTTTGCTTTCGTTCATAGAAAAGTGCGCCCGGCCTACTAGAGTTCAACGAACTAGCAACCTGCAGCAAATAATACAGGGATGCCAACACTTAAAACATTTGCGAGTATACGAGTGCCTGCATGGCCACGTGGTTTGGAGATGTAGCATGTATTCGCATGTCTGTCATCATCGCAGTCTTCCGACAAAAGCCTGCAGCAATACTGCAGTGCAAAAAAGAAAGTGGGGTGTAGCGCCGAAACTACAATTCATCTCTGTTTTTGAACAGCTTGACAACGTCATGGCCGCTGACAACAAACCGTTTTCAATACTGCGTGGCACAGTTAGGAGACATGCGCCGTGGACTGGATAAAACCTCTGCAAGTATATTCGGGGAAACACAGTAGATGAAAGTACAACAAATTCTATATGTGGCAAGTTCATGTGTTTGCCATGCTGCAAGATATCGTGGAAACACTGCGTGCATGTAAAATCACAAGGGTATCGTTATACTTTAGTATAGATTACGCTCTTCTTTTCTTGCACGCAAAATGTTTTTCTGTTCCTAAAGGCTGTTCGTGTTCCTCATGGCGTAGTTGGTACGGTGCTTGGCTACTTGGTCACCTCACTATTGCAGTGTCTGTTTGGTGGTTAGCTAGTGCCGGGTTTTGAGATGTCTGGCCATACGAAGGTGGCCATTGGCCCATACGGTGATCGCTCAGATGCTTCTCTTGGATGTCCCATGCACTTTTCTCTTGGTCAATTTTTGGTCAGATTGTTAGCACATCCTCGTGTGACTTTGCCACAGCCAGACAATGTTGCAAAGTGATTTACTATGATTTATTTATATTCATTTGATTAGTTCACGAGAATCAGTGGCAATCGATTAGAATCGTCAAACTCACGATTTCCATGTTCTGCTCCTCGGCTCCCCAGACTCTCCGTGTTTTTTGCAGCATGCTTGTTCACCAGTCTTCTGCTGGCTTTGGAACTCTCTGTGCACCGCTTGTCGGTCACAGCAACAAAAGAGCCTTTACAGGTTCTGGTTGAAGAAGCTCAAGTGCTCCGCTCCAAGCATCATCTGTGCAGTTTGGTTTACAGAGCTTCGCTGCCCGCAAAGCTAAGGCACGACCTGACCAATTTCGATAGACACATGATTGGAACAATCGTGAATCGGAAAGGTCCTAGTAGCCTTCTATGCCATTTTAAATAAATTCTATTTGTATATTGTTTCTATTTGTTTCTACTAGCTTCTTGTTCCTAGTAAGGCCCTTGTTCCTAGTAGCGATGCCAGGAGCCACTAGTAGCGTCCCGCACCTTGAGGTTGCGAAGGATCCGAAATTGCGGTCAATATCCTCTTCAGCTCACCGGATGCGGGAGTAGATCCACGCGGGATGTAGTCGAGCCTCCTATGCAACAGCTGCCGCTCCTAGGATTCGAAATGGAAACACGCATGGACAAAAACACACTTGCAATTTCAAAAACATCTAAGAATGGCTTTCGTCATTGAAGTCATCTGGAGCATTGCTTCTATGGGGCGTCATTGACGGAAAGTTGTGTGCTAGCCTGAATTTGCAAATTTGTCGTGTAATTAGTAAACCATGTTCGAAAATGTTGACTCTGCGAAAGGAAACAAAAGGAACATGAGAGCCATGAGAGCCTGACCATCCCTGCAGATTTGAAATCACGGGAAAAAGCGGGGAGAGGAACTCTATTCGGTATGATTTGGCGTATTCCGTCACTCCGTTAGGTGTTCGTTTGCTCGATTTTTGCAACATCAACAGGTCCGACTGGTTCAGCGCCTGTCGCATTTGGAAAACAATGTTGCCGAGCCTGCGCATTGGAGTTTTCTAAAGGAAAATGTGCGTAATTGTTTGGGTCAAGTCTAATTCAAAAAGGTTCCATACTCGAAACCAGTTCGGTTGAGTGAGGGGTGATACGAGGCCTTCTTTGGAGTTTGTTCAATGTATGCAGTTGAATCGAGTGGACAGCTTTGAAAGCACATCATCTTCGGCTGATTGCACTTAATGCCAGGAGCCCCTAGTAGCTTCTTGTTCCTAGTAGTAAGGCCAGAACCCCTAGTAGCGTCCTTGCTCCTAGTAGCGATGCCAGGAGCCTCTAGTAGCTTCTTGTTCTTAATTGCATTCCAACTGCATTTGTGGTGACTTGGTGGCGTCGCCGGTCTAACGGTCCTGATGCCATACCTCATGCTTTGGAATGTGCGGTGCTGCCGATGGCCTTGTCAGTGATCGTTGCCTATCCTTTCAGTAGAGGATTTGCTGCCTCAGTGTTCGGTTCACGTTGCGCCAGTGTTCTCATTAGCTGAGACTTGGTATGGTCATTTATTGGGTGCGTTGTCTTGCCTCAACATCAGTAGCATGCCCACGTGGCTGGACTGCAACAGCTTCACCGTTCGGTTGTTGTTTGCATTAATTTGCTCATTTCTTAATTACAGGGGACTTCGGCAATCTGAGTCTCAATGACAGCAAAAAGCATCTCAAGCAAACACACACATAAACCTGAGCAAAGCATGTCCTGGTAGTGGGCAAGTACCTGAACCGTAACAAGCAACGAAAGCCCAACGTTCATGCAGCCATCCAGTCTAGCTCCAACCCATCAGGTTTGGTCCAAATCCTGAGAACCTGGTCGATCGAGTCGGTTCATAGGGGTGTTTCTGACCTCTACTATCTCGAACGGTGACATGCACTCCCCGTTGCAAGTACAGCGCTTTCCCTCCCTCCGTCCCTCCCTCCCTTCCTCCCTCCCGGTTTTCCGCCTCAAACGTATTGAGCTGCATTGCCAGTGGGTGCAGGGATGCAACTGCCGTTGATACTGCTCGTCCATAGAGCTCTTGCATGCGACGAGTTCCGTTGCCACACTGAACTCCATCAACGGCGATCTCTCCAAGGCCGACATTCTGGACCAAATGGTCTAAGAAGCCTTGATCCTCACCAAGCACAAGCGACACGCGGCAACGAGCCGAATTTGAAGAGACTTCAAAACTCGTTAAACGATACAGTGAATGATAGTGAATGGCTATGGCTCAAAAAGCAAAAGCCGGTGACTCACATAATTTGGATTAAATATCCTTTCACCAGTGGGTTTGAGTACCCTATTGTTGGGCCATAGCTTCAACCCGACACGGAAACTTTGAGGCCTTCACGGCAACTTCCACACGCTCCGATGTGGTGATGCTTGCGGACCATGCGTCCAGCAACGCTTCGCTACTTTTTTCCTCGGCCTGCATGGCTCGTTGCCAGGCCTCTCGTAGCACCGCGGTGTCAGCGCCTCCGGAAATAGCATTACATTCTTGAAATGTTGTCTTACTGCAAACACAAAATGTTTTCAAAGAAGCAAGCGTCGCACTAGAATCCCTTGCCTTGCCCCTTTGTTTTCTGTTGAACATGTTGAAACATTTTTGCACCGCCTAATTAGTGTGATTGACTTGCTTCGCAAGACTTCCCGAGGTTGCGAATGGTTGCGTGCAAGACAGGCTGGCAAGCAACGAAATCCCAAGAAAGGCAACGATCTCTTAGCGCATCCGGGTCCGATCTTGGTAAGCACCGCTCAGTGTGCGGACCAACATTCAAAGCAATAGTTTGACAAACCTATTGCCAAATCGTCTCAAATCAGTAGTTTTTTTTAGGGGCACAGAATCTGCATGTGGCCCAGCTTTTGCAGAAATATATGCGTTGAGCATGCGCATATGACACAACTAGATTACAAATCAATTCCAGATTTGCAAATATTTGAAATTTCCAAATCATGAGCGCAAATGAGCACAGCAGAAAGTGCACGTTTGAACTGCCTGCGCATTGGGAGAAATTGTGAGCCAAACTGATCGCGTACTCAGCTTGGTCCAAAGCTTTCAAGTTCAGCATGATGAAGGCGTCATGCTTCTCATGGTTTCGAAGAAACGATTCCAAAACGGACGTCCACACCACTTGGTCATTTAAATCCAGAGTCAAAGGTTGGAAAGGCTGCATCCGCAATGATTTGACCACATGCGCAATTTCTCGGTGTTCTGACGCTTGATCGCCTGAAATTGCCGGCAAAAAGGTCCACTTTGTTGAAACATGTTGAAAACAAAGTCTTCCCACTTGCTACTTCGACAAACATGTGCGCAACATTGCACAATAGGAGCAAACTTCTGAAAATCTATGCTACATGGCCAAGGAACGAAGCAGCTGCAACTTGCTCTTGATCTGCTTTTGGGCAGCAGAAGAAGCAGGCAACTTCCGGTGTTCTCGAAGGCGTTCGTGGAGACTAGAGTGATAATGCTGCAGCATGCCCTTGATCAATTTTATTCTGTGAGGCCAATTGGCGGTCGACGCATTGATATACATACCAGCTACTCGTGATAAGAGCTCGTTGCCGGCTCTTTGATGCCAATCCAGAATCTCCCGGCCCAGGTTTGGCATGTCAGCGAGATCCAGGTGGCGCATGTCTTCCAACAAAGCAGATGCGGAGAGCATCTCATGCGGTTCCTGCTGTACCTTCTTTGAATCCATCACTGAGCCAATTGCCCACAGCAAGTACTGCGTCTGGTAATCCAGCAATGATTGGATATTCGTCATGAGCACCGAATGCGAATATTGCAAACTTTCCAAGACTGCAGAAGTACCCGCTGTTACGGCATCTTCAATGCAAAACAGGTCACACATGACTTTGGACAAGCCAAACTGGATGGGAAGACAATCTTTCCACCCAGCTTCTGCCAATGCTGAGAGATCTGCGGCATAGGATCCACTCAGCTGTGGAACTGTCCTCATTCTGTGAGGAGATAAAGCAAAGCAAAACAAACATATCAACCACTTTCTTTTCCTTCGCGCTTCTTTGAGCCCTAAGTTTCTTGTTTTCACAATACAGAAATGTTCACGACCAATATTCATCTATCTGTATGTATAGTGTGTGACTCAATCTGGACCCTTTGATGCCGCAGTATCTAGCCAACAAATTGGTCACGCAGAGCTCCGAATTCCATGTATATAAATGCTGTCCGATGCTGCTATCGAAAGGGTGTGCACTCAGGGTGGCATTTAATCCTGCTGTGAATCACTTGTAAAGCGTAATCTCTAGATTCCCATCTTCACGCCTTGAGAAAAGGGCGCTTGGGAATTCCGTTCCCAAGCCGGATTGCTTGAAGGGCAATATCGGATGAACTCTGTCGTTTCTTAGGCAATACATTGGGACAAACGCAGAGCTACTACTAGTATCAAACAACCTTGCTTGGAACCCAGCACCCCAACCAACTGTTTCAGATCTTGACCAAGTAATTCACCTTGGCATTGTTTCAAGACGTTCTACACGTAGATCACCTCAGGGTTGGAATATGTTGCAATATCGTTCATTCCTCACTGCGTCGACGAATCCACCATCAACTCTTAGCCACAGTGTGGCAGCGCGTTGCAAAAGTAGCGCATCATGCATGTAGTAGATGCATGTGGCAAGTATCCAACACATCAAATATCACCTTTGGAAGGGTTGGATACATCCCAAGAGCAAGGACTCCCAGAACTGCTACGGGGCGAGCACTGGCAAACGTCTGAAGGGTTTTTGTTGGATCCTCTCATGAAGGACTTTAAACATGTCATTCCCGTTAGCTGGTTGGTGCCATCAAACTCTGCTGCAAATCTAAACTTACTCGGCTAAGTGCTACATCTGCTCAGCACTGATGGTGTAAGCCCGGAGTGGATGCATGGTGAGACCATGAGCACATGCTATAGCTGCTGCGCATGGTTCTGGTCCGGAGCTTGCAAACTGCTTGAAAGCAAACAGCCCTGCTGCGGCTTTTGGGAAGAGAAGCTTTTTAAGTTGTTGACTTGGCCCTAAGGAAGGTCACACATGAAAAAAGGTCGGGATCGGCACGTCGTCCCTTGTTTCTTGAGCCATCGAGCGAGCGCACAACTGGTTTGTGCTTGTCAACTTAAACATGCGATCGGTGTCGATCGAATCATTCACGATTCACACTCCCCCTACCTGCGTTGCAGGTACGAGTGCTCTTTTATGCTCGGCAGGTTTTTTCGTCTGCCTTGCATTCCAAAAGAAGTGTTTCCTTCAGCAGAAAAACTCAAAGCTGCCCTCAGAGTCATTTGGATCTTCTTCTCGTGCTGTTCGGCTAGGTGCACGTGGTGGAGGCATTTGCGTGCCAACCCCCATCCACACAGGCAGCTGATCCGCCTCAGGCGGCAGCAATTCCGCCATCCGGTCGCCCGGCTGCGTCAGACCCTCCATCCGCAGGGCGTAGAGCCAATCGTCCCGTTCTTCTTCGTCCCGGGTCATGCCATCATGGCCTTGCGGCCCCTCAGACCAGTAGACCCCGGTCGCAGGGTTCACACCCTCTTCATAGATTGGCTCCGCTTCGCCCCTTCTCGCATGGCTTTCCAGCGTATTCAGGTAGCCTAAGGACAAGCCACCCTCCATCGATTGCAGGCCTCGAGCTGTCGCTGAGGATCTCCTTGAAGTTGAGGAGCTTGTAGTTTCCCCCCCATAGCCCTGCTGCCCGCCCGGCGTGCCAGAAGAGCTGATAGTTTCATTGGTGCCCCTTCGGGCATAGCTGGACTCAGTTTGCAGCTCCTCTGACTCCGGCACAGTAGGCTGTTCGCTCGGCAAAGGTCTTGGCACCGGCTGCACCGTGAGCTGTTCAGCTGGCCTCGGCATTGGCGGCGGACCAGACGAGCCGCTGCCCATCGAGGAAGTAGTCAAACTCACAGGTTGGGGCGTCGAAGAACTCCCCGATGTCAAAGTTTCTTGAGTCGCCCCGCTTCCCGCCGGAGTGATCTCTTGGAAAAAGGTGTAGCCAACCCATGGCTCATTCGGAGGCATCACTGGCGAAGTCCCATCCCGCCAGTCATCTTGGATCACCTGCTTCTCGCCATGGCACCAAACCACCACTGTCCTCAGGTTCTGGAGGCGGCTGCCTTCAACCGGCGTTTGGCGATGAAGCGGGTGAAAAGGTCGCACCCTTGGTTTCACATGGTGGCGAACCCACCATCCATCAGCAAGCCGTCCCCACCGGTCTCGGCCTTGAGGTGGTAGGGAGAATGAATACCATTCCCACGGCGGCCCCGTCTGCGGCAGCGGCGAGCGGAATGCTGCCAAGCGCATCGCTGCTCCCCCCATTCCATGGCCCAACGCGCGCGCGCCGATTCGGGAGCCTTGTAGGCTAGAGGTTCTCACCTCGTGAGGTGATTGGAAAATGCCGTTGGGTTCGTCTTCCCTCAACGGATCTTGAAGGCCAGTGGCTCTTGTGTTCACTTTCTTTTCTTGGAAAATGCCGCCGGGTTGATCTTCCCTCAGCGGATCTTGTTGGCCAGTGGCTCTTTTGATGTTTCTCCAACAGCTAGCTAGGTGAGCAACTATCGCGGCGATGCCTACCAGCCGAGCAATCTTGCTCAAGGCTTCGAGTGGTCTCCAAGCAGCTAAGCCGGCTACCACCCCCGCAAGCACAGCCACTTTGGACCGCTGCTCCCCCGGAGTCTCAGGACCCTCACTCGCTGTCTTTGAAGCTGCAGCGCGCAAGTTCATGAAGAGCATGAAGGCCTGCCAGGCGCCCAGCTGCGTGACCGGCTTGGTCAACAAATCAGCTGCCAGCTTTGCACCTGCCAAGCGCCTCACCTTCCATAGCCCCATGTTGACGCGTTCACGAATGGCGAAGCACCGAAGCCTCAAATGCCTTGTTCTCCAGGCACCGTCCGGGGCTTGCAAAATCTTCAAACCAGTTTGGCTGTCCCCATAAAGAACACCCAATTCATCATCCAGCATCCCCTGCTCCAAAATGTTCACAATGACGCTGGTGGATTCCCCCATTACCACACCATCCAAGTAGCTTCCGAGCTGGAGAGGGTGGCAAAAGGTTGCAACTTTGATTCCCATTGTACAGGAGCACCACCATAACGCACAATGACCCCCTGCTGTCCTCGTCCACCCGGCGGGGCGAAAGAGGCATCACAAAAAATCTCCAGCTTCTTCATGGTACTCTTGAAAGCCAGGTCGGACCCCTCCTCCAAATCAGGTGAACACTTTCCGTATCTCAAACAGACATTGGAGGTGTTGGTGACATAGCCCAAAACATGCTTACCATATTCACAAACACGAGCTGGATATTTGCCCACACCCTGACCAAGCCAGGCTACTGCGAAAGACAAATCAGGGCGTGTTCTCGTTGAGAGCCACAGCAATTCGCCGACCAGCCCTTGAGCAGCCTTGATCTGCTCTGCAGTTGGTTTTTCCTCAGGTTCATCACACAGCGTTCCCGGCAGAGGCGTGGCCTTGTGTGCTACAGGTTCATGGCGGCTGAGCAGGTCCAAAGTGTAGGCTTCCTGGCCGATGATCAGCTCGCTCTTGGCATTGTCCCACGACAATTCAAAGCCACAGTACTTCATCCATCGTCCTTCTTGGACAAACTCAGGGTCGGAGCACTTCCATTCCTCCATTATTCTCTGGAGTGCACTCCGGACAACATCATCCGGGCCCACGGCATGCGATCACCTGCCAAAGATTCCCCTCGGGCGTCGGCGTCCCTGTAGATCCGCCAATCAGCAGGACTGGATTCCAAGCCGTACATGGCCTTGTCGATGATCCAGCGTTCGGACTCCGTGACAATTCCAGCCTCTACGAGCACACGAGGAGGAACCGCAACAAGTAGTGATTCCTTTGCCCGCTGACGTGGTGCCAGCAAAAAGGCTGTTTTCACGTCAATGGACCCTAGGGTCCAAGATTCATTTGCAGCCTTGCGGAAAAGACACCGCAACAAAGTGGCGTCTGCCCCACCTGCATAGTTCCCAAAAAGAACTTCACGTCCATCATCATGATGATCTTGCAGAGCTGCTTTTGACGCCTGGTCAGGATCAGCCCACTCCACCCGGTTGCCGCAGATGACCGTGCGTGCTCGATGCTTTCCAAACGGTGCCTTCACCGTGGGGACAACCATGGCCGGCGCAATCTCCATCTCAGCATAGTTCGGGTGGTCCTTCAAGGCTTCAACTGTAGTGGGTCGGAGAGCTCGGGTGTTGGAGGTGAGGGAGACATATTCATCAGACAATGGCTCCTTCCACTTTTCCAGTTCGCGTCGCATCTGTTGAAGTGGCACTGTATATGTCTGGAGAACTGTGCTCGGCCTCGAAAACGTTCCTGTTGTGGCCTGGGGTTCATTCATCGAAGCCAGTTTCGCCCACAACGCATTTTCAAGCTCTTGATGTTGTGCTTCCAGGGCCGCTTCCTTCAAACGCACAGATGTTTCCAACCAATGGAGCCACTCTCCTCGTTCACGACCTTCTTCCGCTCCCACTGCAACCTCCTTGAGCTCATCACACCACAATCTCTTCAATGACCAGTGCTCGAACAGCTCCTGCTTGTGCAGTTTCTCCTGCTCTTCCCAACCACTGGCTAGGGTTTGGTCCTCCGCCTTTCCTCCGCCAAGGTTCTCCGCCCTACCTCCGCCATGGTCCTCCGCCATCGTCCTGGTAGTAGGTGGTGTCCCGGTAGAAGGTCTCGGCAAACATGTAGTTTCCCCAGCTGCATGGCTATCTTCCCATCCCCAATCCAGCGAGCCCAAACAGTTCGACTCCAGCGGCTCAGAATCAAAGGGCTCAGATTCAAGAAGCTCAGAATCAAAAGCCAAGGAGGTCATCCCCCCCCCCAACCTGCAGCGCAGTCAACGCAGGTTGGTACAAAGCCCCGACCACCCCCTCCAAAGGATCCTCCTCCGCAGGTGGTTGTTTTCCATGAAGGCGACGTCGAACTGGTTGAAGGGCTTCTGCATCAGCCAATTGTAGTTCATGGTGGGCATGATCAGCGCCTTCAGCTTGAACCCAGGCTGACCTCACGTGTTGAACAAGGCCTCGACGGTCTCTTGCCAGCCAGCCGTTGGACATAAAGGGACTTGGGCCCAGAATTTGCATGCTGCGAAAGGGGTTACTCAATTGACCTGCACGGTGCCAGCGTTTCGTCTTGACAGACATCGTTGCAGCGAATCTCACCATTGGGCGGGTCACTACGCCCAGACGATGTAGTTGAGCTCGAAGACGATGTTCTGCAGCATGTCTCAGTGCACATACCCAGAACCCGTGCGGGAGCCCACTTTCATGTAGAAGCAATCTGGTGCGCCGCTTGATTTGGCCGTTGCTTTTTGCATCATCTCCTCCTGTCATGGTTTGTAGGAGGCTTCGAGTTTGACACCAGCGCTGCGCTGGTTTGGCCAAAAAGGATTTCTCACGATCGCTATGGAGGCGGAAAATCTGTACCCCCAGCGACTTGAACTTCGCATACACCTTCGACAAGGCCTGGACGATGGAGCCAACTGACCTGCTCTGCATCACTTCGACAACGGTGAGGTTCTGGAAGTGCATGGCCTCCGTGGATTTAGCAATCTCTCCATCTTCGGATTCACCACGGTCCCGGTTCACCCCTTCAGCTTCCTCCGCCGTCACCATTTCAGTTTCCTCCTCCAGCTCTGGCAATTCGGGCACTTCCTTCAAAGCTTCAGGGTGGTCACAAGGTTCATCACCTGCTCCCGGAAGATCACCCAGGATGGGTACTGCCACAGTTCCAACTAGGGCATAACGGCAGAACATGCCCGTCCCATAGTCCTTCCCTGCTTCGAAGGGGCCACAAATGTCAACTGACAGGACGAAGTGAGTGGATGCACCTCCAACTCGACGGTGTGGAGCGTCACACCCCATCGCTTCAGCACAAATGCGGCAGTCCGATCTGAACGGGATGTGCCCTTGATGTACATGGCGTCTCCAAGCATCCATGTCCAATTTGGCCATTTGTGGTATGCACTCCCCCTGTTCCTCCAACGTCAAAGACGACAGAAACCAGGTCATCGAGTGCTGGAAGCCAGGAGCCCAAGCTGCCCATTCTTTAGATGCATCCATTCTTCTTGACAAGGATGCTGGAAGTGGTCCAGATTCATGACCATCTCCTCGTAGACCTTGTAGTTGATGCAAATTTGAGAGGATCGTCGTCGGCTTTCTTCGGGCGTGGCCCATTGATCCTTGGTCGAAGTGTATGAGGCGTAGTCCTCCTTGATCTAGCCAGGACGTGATCTCCGGGAAGTTCCAGAACGACGGCGCTGTCATCGCCTCATTCTCGTCCTTCAAATAGGACGCCGGATCCATCGGGGATTCCAAGAGCATGCCAACATCCTGCTTCCAGCGTTTGCATTCCTGCGCACGCACCCATAGTGCCATCTGTTTCAAGCAGAGGGCTGAATCACTGTTCACGAGGTTGAGCTCGTAGTCCTGGAGGTTCTGGAGGTGCCATCGGTCTTCTCCTCTGCCCCGAAGCCGTCTTGGTCCTGGTGAAGCATTTCGCATCCTTGACACAGTGCGGCATGGCGGACCTCCAAGAATCGCAGCCACTTTTCCTTTGGAAGCTAACCCCCAAACATAGGCCCAAACCTGTGGGTTGTGTAGGCTGTATTGCGCGCCCAGCAAGGTGTCCAAGTGGATCCAAACAAAGGAGTCTCCTCCAATCCCATTCCATTTCTTGGGGCTTGGTCCACAAAAGAGGTTGATGATCACCCCCTTGGCCCTGGCATGGGTTCGCCTGGTTCTCCTGTTCCATGGAGGCTGCTCTGGTTCACGTCCTTGGCCTCCCATATGGCGTAGTACCTCAGGTGGTACCTCAGGGAAGTTAGTGCCCCACCAAGCCAGCTGCTCGGGATCCAACACATGAGCACTCTTCTCCTCCGCCTCAAACCTGTCCAGCATTGATAGAGCGCTCTGGCGATCCATCACCGGGCATGCAAACCTCAGCACACATGCCACTTCACCATGGTCGGCATGTCGAATCGAGCAGCCCGTCTTCCTCCACGAGATGTTGAACCCCTTCTCAACCAAAAGACTCAACGGTCTGATGGGCTCCACCTCCGTCAACGAAAGAAGCGTGCTGTGGTTGGGATGCTTGTGCAACGTAGTGGTTCCCTGGGCAAGCTCTACCTCCACTGGGCTCAAATCATCACGTTCATGCTGGTGAGCCATTCGCAATGCGTGTGTCGCGCCACCATCCAACAAAGCGAATCTATCCTTGGCCGTGTGCTCAAGGTCAAGGCTCACCTGCTTCAATTTGACTCTCTTCATGGCCCGCAACGACTTCAGCAGTGAAGCGGCCTCAGTAATCAGCTCCTTGGCTGGGTCCTCCACCTTTCCACCTCCCTGTGAACCCCCTTCTTTTTTCTCATCCTCCTTGGACGGTGAAGACGGTGATGTCAATGGCGTTGGTGTAGTCGATGTAGTTGATGGAGTCCCAGACTTAATCACTTCTTCCGGCTTTTCCGGTTTTCCACCTCCCTTCAACTTGGCGGCCCGCTTCCCATCTCTCCCCGATCGCTCTCGACCATAGGGGCAATCCTTGGCAAAGTGGTTCTCGCCGGAGCAGTGGAAGCACCTATCTGCTTTGTTGATGCCCTCCCAGGTGTGAGCAAAGGTGCAAGATTCACCACGCTTGCATCCCGTTGAGCTTCCCCAGTAGCGGCACGCTTGTTTCGTCTTCTGTTGCCCATCTCCACCGACCAGTCCTCCCCCCAAGGCTTTGATTGTAGGTTGAGCTCCCCCCGTCAGTTGGCTTTTTGCCGCCGGGCTTGTAGTCTTTGTTAAGGTCGGCTGTGGCATAGTCAACACCAAATCCTCCGCCTCAGCTTGAAGGAACTCTGCAAACTCCTTGGTGGTGATCAGGGTGGGCCTTCGATCAACTTCAAGTTCTTGTCGAGCAGCTGCAATGCGGAATCCCACTTGGCTTCCTCCGTGCTTGGTGAGGTTCTCTGCAATCTTGGACAGGGCCTGAATCAAGACCATGGAGTCCGGGATGCCCACATGCAATTCTTCAGCTCGACAGAGCCACCTGCGCCACATTCGAATGGCATTCAAAGCGTCCTGGATGGAGCTGCCACACTTCACCTCGGTCAGGCTGCGCAGCAAGTTTCCCCTTTCTGCATTACCACCAGGCTGGTAGATGGTGAAGAGCTTGTACAAAATGGCCTGAGTGGCCACCCTTCGACTTGCCACAATGTCTCTTCTCACTAACTCAGGAAGCGCGGCCAGCAGTGTCGAGCTCGCCCGCTGATCCAAACGTTGGAACCTCGGGGACACCTGTTCTTCAACTTTGCCAGGAGCCATTCATTGTACTTGACCTCCACCTCCCGTTGCACCCATTCCCAAAACTCCTTGGACAAAGTGCTGAGGTCTCCCATCAATGGAGTGATCACCGTCAGCCAATCTCCAAACAGCAGGGCCGCATTCTCAGCCGAAGGTGCTGGTAGTGGGGGTAGTTCAAGGTTGCGCATTGCCTCAGGCAGTGCCGCAGTCACTGAGTCCAGCGGTTTCATCAGGTTCGCTGAACCATTCAATCCATCTCCACGTCCTCGAGGATCAAGGAGTGTCAGGTGGTCCTCCAAGCTTTGTCGGCTCCCCATTGGCATCATGCCGTCCTTCCGCCTTGGCGCTCGGCACCGAGGTGAATGAAGCCGAATCTCCACCGTCCGTCATCTTCTTGACTTCCCGGGCGAAGGTCTCCTCAGCCTCCTTCAGAATACGTTCACGAAGACGTTCAACATCTCCCAAGCCCGGACTTGGTGCAGGATGTGGTTCACCTGCAGTTGCCGAGGTCGCCGATGCTCGAACATGCGCTTCACCCTTCGCCGCCTGTTGAACCGAAGCGCTCCAAAAGGGATTCACCGTCCCCAAAGGTCCCACCGGTGTGGTAGGATAGGGCTCCAGCACGCGAGGATGTAGGTCATCACGTCCAGCTCCAGCCAAGTAGGGTGATGCACCCATGCGCTCAACTTCCATCCCGCTTTGCCGCGAGGGAGTACCAGCCGCCAGCCCGTGCCCAGGATGACCTCCAAGTCCGGTACCGGCATGAACTCCATGATCGCCGGGTCGAAGGAGAGGATCAAGTAGGGTCGGCTGTGGGCTCGGCCTTTGAAGAGCATGTTGCAGCACCTCAAATGACTGTCGAACTGCCTCCTGCAAATGCCCAAGTCCCATTGCCTGGCCTCTCGGGTCATTCAACAGCTGTCGAACTTCAGGTTGTCCTTGTCCCTGGCTTCCTGAGGATGCCGCCATGGATCGACCTCCGTGGCCGTGCTCACCGCCAGCCGCTGCACCGCCCAGCCGCTTGATCTCCGCCGCCGCCACAGGCACTGATTGCGCGCGCGCTCTCATCTCCTCCTCGATGAGGGCATCAAGCCGTTTGTCGGCCACACCAACCTCCACCTGCTGCTGCGCCTGGGAATCCTTTCGTTCCCGTGATCTTTGCTGCTGCCGCCGCCGCCGCTGCTCCATGGGGTGCCGCTCAGGAATGCCAAGACCACTGCCTTGGGCTCCTTAAGGTCACACGTGAAAAAAGGTCGGGATCGGCACGTCGTCCCTTGTTTCTTGAGCCATCGAGCGAGTGCACAACTGGTTTGTGCTTGTCAACTGAAACATGCGATCGGTGTCGATCGAATCATTCACGATTCACAGGCCCAAACACAAGCAAAAACGGCGCGCAAACCGCAAAACCTTTATTTTCAGTAAATCAATGTAAATCCTCGTTTAGGCGCACGAGCCTGTCTGCAACAACGACAAGCTGAGAATCTGATCGATGAGCTCGGCAGTCATATTCTCGAATTCTCCTTGAGTTGGGGGCTTCGGTCTTTTCTCATCTTCATAGCTCGATGTTCTTCTCGGGACATCCATCTTGAAGGCAGCTTTGTAGAGGTCCCAACCATCTTTCCCAGCCATTTTCTTCCCCCACTTCCACCCGTTTTTCAAATTGTTCGCAGTGCTTTTCAAGAAGTTCTTCATGCCATCCAAAACCTTTTGCTTGAACGTCTTTCCAATGTTCTTCCCAGCTTGCTTCTGCAAGTCGCGAGCCTTTTTTTTCAAGTTGTTCTTTAACAACCCGACTTGCTGCGCTCCGACTTGCTTTTGCATCTCTTCTGCTCCTTTCGAGCCCGGCTCGGCGTAGCTTCCCCAAGGAATCATGCCAACAATGGCTGCAGCCAGTTCGAGGCCAAGCGTAATTTGCTCCAGCCTTGGCGTGGCATTGATGTTTGAAGGAGTGTTCCTCAATTCTTCAACAAGGCCCTGCCGAGGCTGCATGTGAACCAACAAATATACCTGGTACCTGGAAAATACCCGCATTAAGCGCGCATTTCAACCACCTCGGCGCATCAGCTATGTTTAAGATGGAAACGTGCTCTTGCTTTTCGTGACTGTGGGCTTCTGTGATCAACGAACCTAAGCTTCCAACTGTTCTTGTTTATCTGACACATCTTTGTCAAGCTGGGCCTTGTTTGCCACAGTCATGCTGCTCATGTAGCTTCGCCTCTTGCTCCGCTCGCCACATTGCCAAAATGCCTATCATCAACCGAACGTTGTCACTGTAAATGCTACATTCAAATGTTACATTTGCTAGGGTTGATCTGTATGATCTTCGTGACAAACTAATAGCGCAAAGAAAGCTCACAAACAACCCTTCAAACATCTTCAAACTTCGATAGCTGAGAACGCCAAAAGAAACGACGAAAACGAAGCAACGATCCGAGTCAACAAATCTTTGAAGAAAGCGAAGTCGGTCTCAAGAAGTGCTGATAACTGCCGCCTGCTCAGTAATTCCTTTCAGTAGAGGTGCATCAGGTGCTGGGTCTAATGTTGCAGGTTGAGCATTGAACGTATGAAAGCATGGGTTGCTCTCTGAAATGGAGTCGGCTGCTTGGAATGCAAAAGGGTTTTGCAAATATGCGGGATCGCAATATTCCTTGTAATCTGGTTCTTCCGGATGGAATGTCAAGAGTTTGGGCTGCTCCGGCTTTTGCTGTGGGAGCAGCGGCTTTGGCTTGGGTTGTATCCTTGGTGCACAAGCGCAGTCGCACGTAGCAAACATCGGCAAAGCAAGCTCCACAAGGGTACACGATACTGATACTCAAAGGTTGAATCTGTGTTGCCAAGGATCACATAGGCTGCAGTCAGCGGTTCGATATATGTGGCTGAAAACGAAAAACCTGAAGCATTCACGGCCACTGGACATTCTGCTTCTCCTGGTAAAACTTCAACGAGTTTCTGATCCTCTCGCAATTCCCAGCGGTTAAGGAACCTGTTCCAGTTCAAAGTCCACTCGTTCCTCCAAGGGACAAATGCAAATAATGTAGACCTGTGATTAATAAACCTCCCTAGAATAATGTATTTTTTCCTGCACTGATTAATAAAGGCACCCAGAATAATGTTTTCTCTTGCAGGGATAGTTGTAGTGGAATAGTGTTTATTGTTATAGTTTACTTTTTCCCTTTTGAGTTTGCTGGGGTTTCAAGCTTAAAACACATTTTGCTTTAAGTAAACTTGTATTCATTCCCTTTCTTTTCCTTTTGATTTGCTTTACTTACCTAAGCTCTTTAGTCGTTAAGCTTTCCAAAAGTTTCCAAAAGTCACTGCACACTTTCTTCACAAAACCCCTTATTCAAAAAAATGCAAAACAAAAAACATCATTCAAGCAAAGGGGGGGCCCCTAGAATAATGTCTAGAAATTTCAAGCTTAAAACATATTTTGCTTTAAGTAAACTTGTATTCATTCCCTTTCTTTTCCTTTTGCTTTGCTTTACTTACCTAAGCTCTTTAGTCGTTAAACTTTCCAAAAGTTTCCAAAAGTCAGTGCACACTTTCTTTACAAAATCCCTTATTCAAAAATATTGAAAACCACAAAAAATCATTCAAGCAAAGGGGGTAGTCCAGCAAGCAGCTTTCTGACATTATTTAGGGGGGGCCCTAGAATAATGTCTAGGGATTTCAAGCTTAAACAATATTTTGCTTCAAGTAAACTTGTATGCATTCCCTTTCTTTTCCTTTCGATTTGCTTTGCTTACCTAAGCTCTTTAGTCTTTAAGCTTTCCAAAAGTTTCCAAAAGTCAGTGCACACTTTCTTTACAACATCCCTTATTCAAAAACATTGAAAAACCAAATATCATTCAAGCAAAGGGGGTAGTCCAGCAAGCAGCTTTCTGACATTGTTTGGGGGGGGCCCTAGAATAATGTCTAGAGACTTCAAGCTTAAAAAATATGTTGCTTTGAGTAAACGTGTATTCATTTCATTTCTTTTCCTTTTGCTTTACTCTTGATGCTTTTCAAGGTCTTTTGATTCAGATTTCCATTGAAATATTGAGAATTACATTTCCACTTTCTTGATTTCCGTTTACTTTAGTATTCCAAATGTCTTCAATTTGAGATTTCATTGATTCCCTTTTATTTTTAAAACTGCCAAAGAAGCCCAAGAAGATTTTAACAATGATTCTTTTCATTTTGGTCCTTTGACTAGTTTTCTTATACACTATATTGGAGGCCCTGGTTGTTGAAGGGGGGGGGGCGGGTGAAAGAGTGACTAGGGCGTACACGGTTGAGGTGCAGACCGCTAGTGTCTTTTTCTACGCAGAGTCTTATCCTCTTGACTTCTTGAGCCTTATGGCAGTCAAGCATGGACACACTAGATAGGTCACTGGAGTGGAACCTGTACAAGTAGGCCTCTACATTTCAGCAGGCACAAAATTCATGTCCACTCCAGCCTATTGCGTATGTCGCACACTATTTTTCCACCGTAAGGCTAAAACAGTCCAGCAAGCTCTAGTAAGCTTAAAAGGAAACTACGGTGCCTTGTACTTACCAATTCCAGTGTGTAGCACACTATAGGAAAGGTAATCTCAAAGTATACTAGATACAGTGAGGGAGCGATAGCTTACTCACCTCAAATACAAAGTCAAAGACAATGTATCTCGGCTGGAGACTGTATCGTTCACCGGCGAAGATACCATGTACCGGCGCTCAATAGCCCTTAAATAGCCAGAGCTGTCAATCTTTCAGAAAGTTCTAAATTCAAAAGGAAAGCGGCTTCTTTTGCCCAGAGACCTATAAAAGCAGAAAACGACACTCGCGTAACGAAAGAACTAAAATTTCAAGACCGCGCAAAATGCAATGAATTAAGATGCCTTGCAAAATGCAAGGAGCGTAAACAATTCGGTCCGAGGAATGGTCTTCTCTAAAAGTGGTCTCGGCCGCTTCCATACACAGGACTTATCCAAAAATGAACTGCATCAAAAGGACTCTCTCACATTGACATCAAAAATCAGCCAAAAACAAAAAGGAAGGAGATACCGGCAAATGTATGTACAAAAAAATCTTGCACTACAATTGCAAATCCATAAAATGACTTAATCATCAACCATAAATGGTTGTCCATTAGAGGTCATTTCAAAAGAGCGACTGTGGTAGATATCATCAGTTCTGTAAAACTGTCCATACCTACCTGCAGATAATATCCGTTTAGTAAAACTGTATTTATCTGCATGCTAAAGCTTAAAACTTCAGCCTGGCAACTTCAAGTCAAGCCTGGAAGCAAAGTATCAACTGTAATCAGAAGTATCTTCACTTCCTAGCCATCATTTAAAATTCAGCCTCCGCTCTGAGTTTCTGCCGCTGCAGTCGATGGAGCTGCTTGATCAGAAGTTGGCGGCCTTCCTTTCCTTTTATTCTCCTTCTGTCTCTCCTTCCTCCGCAAGTTAGCCTCTCTAAGAGTCTCGCCGCTGCGATAAAGCCTTCTGTCTCCAGATGAAAAGGAAGCTGGTCTGAGTGAAATAAACATTGGACCATGACTGTCATCGCCAGAGGGTCTTGAGCACATAACCTCCGTGTCAATCATAGCAAAGTTCTCTGAAAAATTACAGTCGAACTCCTTCGTGCTCACTGTAGAATTTGTATATTCCTCTGCACTCATTGAATGACCCCATTCAACAATGGTAGACAAACACGTATCGCCAAGCTTTGATCCCTGGTATATTTCTTTTTCTTCTGTAGAATATTCTTCCCAGAGTTTCTCAAAGTAAACTTCACACTGCTTGAGGACATGTGAAGATGAACTGTAAAATGTTCTGGGAATAGGTGCTTTAATACCAGGATCTGCTGCTACACGGGCTTCTGAAAACTTGCGGGTCCAATGCTGCATGGTGCTATAATAATAGTTAGCCATTGGCTGCCTTTTGTACCCAGACATTCTGTAGGCCAAACTATTTGCATCACCAGAAATGATGTCCACCTCATATACAAAACACTCATAAAGCATCAATGATGTCTGTTCTCCTGTCAATAGGTGGGCATCCACAGCACGGTGTGTGTCAACATGATAATTACAGACTCTGATGGTATGCATGTTCGCTCGAGTAAGTGGAACACGCTGGTCCTTAGGACCATAGTCCTCAAATTCAAAGTCTGCATCCTTGAATTCTTGACGAGGCCTTGTTTCTCCAAAACAAATCTCATAGATAGCCCAAGATACATCACGCTGTTGACAGTGACCAAGGTCTTGGTCATGTCCAGCAATTACCTTGACATATCCACCTGGTGCCAATCTAGCCATCACTGCAAGATTCTCCCAATCATTGAAACAAACTGTCCAATTCTTTTGCTCAAGAAAATCCTTGGCAGGAACAAGGAGATGAGCTTCCTGGAGAATCACGACATGTGCACGTAAAAAGAAGAGCATGTTGAAGAAAAGATTGTTTTCAAATAGCTCATATTGAAGTGACATGTCACTCTGTTTGCGTGGCTTCATTGCACGATCAAGTCCTTGGAGAAACTTTGGTGTGGTGTATTTCTGACCACGAACCATATTGCCATAGTTCCAGGATAAAAATGTCAAGGACTCTGAGCTGGCCAATAAGTTAGTTCCATATTGTTCTTCTATTCTTCCTTTGAGGAACCTTTTGCACAGCTCTTCATAGACGGCGACATAGTCCCAACTGGGTCCCTTGGGACCATATGATTCCAGTTCTTCTCTAAACTGTTCCTTTGTAACCTCCAAATCTGCTCGAGCTTGTTCTGCCCTTTCAAGGGCCCTGGGATCGACCTGATACTTGTCATCCAAATAAATGATGCGGTCATCATTGATGAAAAATCTCTTCAAGTCATGCTCTGAGCTGTCCTCATAACAATCAGGTGGAGGTACTGGACAGATCTTTCGAATGGATCGAACAAAGTCGTCCTCGTTGATCATTGACTGATAGTGAGGATGGGAAATCTCACCTTTTCTGAAACAAACATGGTTCAACAATCTTGCGTGAGTTTCCCTGTAGCATTGTTGATAAAAGCCAATACCTAGATCTCCTGTAAGCTCTCCAAGCAACCTCAAAGGTGAAGTACGCAACTCATGGGTATTGTCAACATCCGCTGCATCTGTATCAACAACTACTTCAGATGGAAAAGATTCTTGGATACCAGCCTCCAATTTCTTCTCTCCATCATCCTCTCTGACCTCTCTTATCTTCTCCACCGCCTTTTTCTTCTCCTCAAAAGTTGCATCATCCTGAACTTCTTCATGAAAATGAGGATCAGGAATTTTATTCAGGCGGCTCTTCTTAGATTTCCGCAGACTTGAAGGATCCTCAAGGTTAGCATCATTCTCACCTGATGGTAAGTGCGATGCTGCTGAGTCCTCACCTATCTCTCTTGACAGAAAGTATGATGCTGACTCATCCTTGGCTTCCTCCTGGTCCACTTCCATCTTTGTGTCCTCTGAAGGAAAAACACCTGCATTCTCATCAAAAACTTCTTCATCTTTTACGAGTTCAACTGCAGGATCTTCTTCATGGACTTCCTCTTCCATATCTTCACCTTCCGTAATCTTCATACTACCAGTATAGATCTCACCAGTGATAGTGGAGACTCTTGTGTAAGGAGGAACTTCTTCACCTGCCTCAAAAGCTTGTTCTGCAACATCCTTGGTGAGCAAGTCCTCCACAAGATTTTCTCCCATGGTTCTTGGAAGAGATTCTGAGGTCTCAAAATAATCTGTCCTCTCTGAACTGAAAAACTCTGTTGCCTTCTCATTGTCCTTTTTATCCTTATAAAGATGAGTAATCTTCACTGCTTCTCCCTGTAACACCTGATCACCTTCTCTATACTTATTGACAATGGAGCTCCATACTGGCACATTGTCATCATCAAAATCAAGCTCCATATCATCTGC